ACGCCCAGCAGCATAGTAACGGATCTCCATACATCCATACATCACTTGTTTCTATACATCTTTACGCCCAATGGCATAATCACTTGTTTCTATACATGNTTAATGTCAGAGTCTACACAGTTGTTATCTTACTAGTCATGTTTAGTGTCACAGTCATTATAGTTGGTATCTTACTAGTCATGTTCAATGTCACAGTCTACATAGTTGTTATCTCACTAGTCATGTTTAATGTCAGAGTCTACACAGTTGTTATCTTACTATGTCATGTTCATTGTCACAGTCTACACAGTTGTTATCTTACTAGTCATGTTTCATGCCACAGTCTACACAGTTGTGATCTTACTACTCATGTTTAATGTCACAGTCTACACAGATGTCAACAGACGAAATCCAAAACCGCAACTTTATGACAACATACAAGGATAATAACCTTAATTTTATGTCAACACACCAGAACAAAACTGTCAATTTTTTGTCGACACAAAAAGTAAAAACTTAAATGCTATGTCAAAACCTAAAACAAAAGCCAATTACCCAAGAGCAAAATGTCAACTTTATGTCAACAAACAAGAAAAGACCTTAATTTTATGTCAACATAAAAGGAAAATCCTCAATTTCATGTCAATACACAAGGACAAAACCTAAATTGTATATCAACATACACATGGCAATATAATTATGAACATAATGTTAACAAGTCATGACAAATTAGAGAGAAGACATTAAAACAAATAAGTAATGTATAGTTGTACATAAGTCTGACCCATGTAAACAAGTGTGTGTTTTCATTAAACTCCCATTATATCATGTTTGGTTACAGATAACAGCAAGATGATCACGATATGGGTTACCCTCAGCCTAGTTATCGGTGGCATGCAACTTTTTAACAAACATGGAAACGAAATTCGAGCTTCAATTCCGGACGGTAAGCTTATGGTCTCTTTAATAATGGAATCAATTAATGACATTTTTAAAAAGAAAAAAAGAAAAAAACAATCACTGAGACTGTAATAACGGAATTTGTGCACTTGAGATTTCTAAAATAATGAAGTGACATGTTTTCTTAGGTAGGAGAGATCAGATTAAAGGTTTTGACTGCGATTTTCTAAAAAGGGGGCAAATTGCCCTGAAATGTTACAAATCCTTTTGTGTGCACTGTCGTTATAACTTCTTTGCTTATATACATATTATATGTTTATAGATAGGAAATGACAAAAGAATTTCTTAGTACTTCCCGCGTACTTTCACCCATTTTGATTTCCCTGATGAACCTCTAAAGAGGTAAAAATTGGAGTAGGACTAGGATGATTTTTGTATTATTATTTTTTGAATAAAAGAACGTACAAATTCATCGTAAATATTTTAGGTCAAGTGAATTCTGTCTACTACTGTACCTGGTCGGGTGGGAGTGCTCCCGTCCGCCATTTTGAGATGCAGAGATACCTTGGAGAAATTATAAACATATTTGTGATCATTTAGTTATTGTTTTTCGATTTAGACGAACCTCTACAAAAGATTTCCATCGCCACCAGTTGCACGAATGACTGCGTTGAACATGAGAACATTACACTAACCTGTTCAGTTGTCGGTTGCGAACTGAGGCCGGTCATTTTATTGGAGACACAGGGAACGGTTCTGAATACCACTGACCATAGACATGAGCCTAATGCGCCACAGAAGTTTAACGAAAGCGTCAGCCTAACCTTGTCACGTGATGATGACAACAAAATAATCACGTGCCGTGTCATTTACCAAAATAACAACACTGCTCAGCACAACTTTACACTGAGAGTATTGTGTAAGCTTTTCTTTTCTTGTAAAAATAGACTTTAGAATATAGTGTTTCGATAGATGTCTTAGTCTTTAGTCTTTAATTTCTTACATCAATTAACTAATATGAAGACAATCATTTTCTTTTCATTAAATGATTCTGGAGGTAAATAGAAATAGACACCAATATTTTATCACATATGAGCTAATTTTGTAACGTCATTTTATCAAAGATGCATCCAACTAAACCAAAATGCTGAAAATCTTAGTAAACAAGTATGAAATGATAACTCCTCCAATAGAAGGTTAAAAGTTTCCCACGTGTAAAAGTGGAGTCATGATATTGGTTTTAATATCCTCCTAATAATGAATAATGAGGATTTCACACAACAAAGAATAGCATGACATTTTAAAATATTCACTTTCAATAATAAATTGCAGTTCACTTTCAATGATCGATTGCAGTGATATAAAGGAATATGGGTGATACATTTTATAAATCATTTCAGATCGGCCTATTGTGGATGTTCCAAAATATGTTGAAGTCAACGAAACAGATGAGGTTATAATACAGTGTAACGTGTCGTCAAATCCCCCATCAAAGGTGACATGGTCGGGACCAAATGGCAATAAGCTATCAACAGGAACGACCTTGAACATCAGTGATATAGGGCGTGCTGCCATTGGTAACTACACGTGCAGAGCTGAGAACAAAATTGGCAACGATTCCGTCACATCTAGGATATTTATAAACGGTAATGTCAACAGAAGAAGCAAGAGAAAAAAATGTGCAAGGTTCATGAGTGTTTGTGTGTTTTAATATTCATAAAGTTACTGTTACTCTTTTTAATTTTGCGAATAATTATTTTCCAGATGGTGCTTTAACTAATAGTTTTCTATCTACTTAACGCGTGAAAAAGTGGTTCTCAAAATCAATTAGTCCTACAGCATAGCGTTATCAACAAAAACTGCTGGATTTTAAACGTCACAGTTGAAGACTTCTTCGTCGCTATGAAGATGATCTCAAAATACTCTTTGATTGCAAATAAAGTAGTATGCATTGTGTTTATCAGTTGATTCGAACAACACCGAGAAGCATGCCAAAAGTGACGTATTTGTCAACAAGTAAAATACATTTACACCTGTACAAATGTTGTCTAGGTTTTAGTATTTCCTTGTTAACTGATAGTCTCAAAATGTCTGTATTTTGTAGCACCTCCGAAAATGTGTCTTTATCCACGTGGATTCACAGACCAAAGCCAAACTGTTAAAATTAGATGTGCGGCCACTGGAATCCCGACTCCGAATATCTCCTGGTCTAATGACTCTGAACTTATCATCACAAATTCTTCCAAACACAGCCTTACATCTATGATCAGCCCTGCCAACCCGTACCTAGTGTTTAGCACACTGACAGTCTTTGATGTGGGAGACAGTGACGTTGTGGGACACACATGTAGTATTGAAAACAAACACGGAAACATTCAGAAAACGTTCAGAATTCGTGAGTAATTTATTATATCATTTATTGCATATATGATTTTGCCATGGATAGTATAATTTCCTTCCAGCATCGGAAAATATGACTTCCTTTCAAAGTTGAAAAACAGCTATTGCTATTGTCCTTTCTTATTTCTGGCAATAAGACTACCATATGACCTTGTAAGACCCTATTGTTTTGGTTGGTTGATAGGACGACCATGACTTTTGTAAGAACTAGCTACTGTACGTTGATGGACCATTAAGACTACAATTATTGTCTCTGTGGGACTTCATGTCGTTATTTGGCATATAAGATACATTTACACTGTGTGACCTTGCTGTGTAAATGTGCCGTTACGACTACGTACCATGTGACGTTGATTGGCCGTTCTTGTATTGCTAAGACTAACGTGAGACCTTTTATGACGTGGTTGTGTTAATTGGTTGTTTATAATACCGTATATACCGGATATTTGGGCTACAGGTATTAATGAACCTTAAAGACTATCGTATAATCGTGCGACCCTGTATGTCCATGTAGTGATAATAAGCTTTTAAACCTGCAGTGTACCCATTAAATGACTTTTTTTAATGGCAGGCTGTAAAGACTACCTTGTGATCCTGTATGTCCTATGTAGTATAAAAAAACGTTTAAATCGGCGTTTAGAGCTAGAGTGTGCCCATTTTAGGACATGGTTGAATTTAAATGTTGTCAAGACTACACCGTGACCCTGTATGGCCTTGTAGTATAAATGGACGATTACGGATACAGTATGCCGATTTTAAGAATTGATTGTAATGAAAGGCTGTATAGACCACACGGACCTGAGAATTTGTTACAGCTATATTTGGACCTAATTAAAAATGACACCCCTAATGATCATATATACATTGGGGGTGTCATGCTTACCGAAAGTCGATCTAACCCCCTAAAACATGTTAAATAACTCTGAACACTTTAGTTTAGGTCCAAATATAGCTGTAGCAAATTCTCAGGTCCCTGTGGTATTGACTACATTCTGACGCTGTATGACCGTGTAGTATAAATAGACGTTAAATGCTGCAGTACAGTATGCCGATTTTAAGAATTGATTGTAATGAAAGGATGTATAGACCACACGGACCTGAGAATTTGTTACAGCTATATTTGGACCTAATTAAAAATGACACCCCTAATGATCATATATACATTGGGGGTGTCATGCTTACCGAAAGTCGATCTAACCCCCTAAAACATGTTAAATAACTCTGAACACTTTAGTTTAGGTCCAAATATAGCTGTAGCAAATTCTCAGGTCCCTGTGGTATTGACTACATTCTGACGCTGTATGACCGTGTAGTATAAATAGACGTTAAATGCTGCAGTACNTGTGACCCCATATAACTTGTTGGTACCGTGTAACACCGCATGCCTGACCTTGTCTCGTTTATGAGTCAATAAGTCCACTATGTGACCTTGTATAACCTTGTCACGGCTATGGGCCAATGGGACTACTCATACGTGACCCAGTATGACCTTGATGTCCCTGGTGTATTACAATTAACCTATTTCTTTTAAACGCAAACTGAATGAATCCTGTATTATAGACCCCGATTTAAAACCAGGAGCCGGTATAGCTAGTTTATATCTAGCTTATATCTTTAGAACATTATGTCTATGCATATTGGTTATATCTACGTGTTCGTTTATTATTTGTGTAAGTGAAACAAGACATATTGATTTGTGAGGTGATATCTTCAAATAGTATCACGAGTTCACATGTAAAAGAAAACTTGAAGGTAACTGTTTCGAAATTCTTAACAAGCTCTCTTTTGAAGGTAAGTCTCTTTTATAGGTTTGCTATTAAACGATGTTGCCATCAGTTGATATACATGTATGATGTGAAATGCTTTGGAATATTTCTGTCTCTAATGCAACGTGTTTATTGTTACAGGTCGGAAGTTAAAATGTAGATGCCGAAGTCGTTACTTAAAGAATTGTGTTCCATTGAATTACACACAGGATGAGTTACAACAAGAAATGGAACAAACAAGAGAAGAGCTGATAGTGAAAAACCCAACACCAAAATTGATGAAAAGAACAAGTGCCAACGACGAACGTGCATCTGCAAAATATATTGGAATACTAGGCGTTGTTGTCATCGCTGGTGCAGTCATATTGATCATTGGGTCAGACCTTCATGGATATTTTTATAACATTAAGCCAAACCTTAAACCCAAAACAAAAAAGAAGAACCAGAGCAAGAAAACAAATTTTGAGAAACAGAGAAACTCTTGTTCTTATGACAACCAGATCTTGAGATCTAACAGAAAAAGAGCACTGGTACCAAAAGTCGTGAATCAATGCAATAAAAAAAAACAGTCCTCCAAATCCAAGAGCAATGAAATAGCATCAGCATCGTGGGACAACCAGCAACCGACTTCATCACAGGACAACCAACAACCATCCACTTTACAGAACAAACAGCAATTATTTGTATCACAGGACAACCAACAACCGACTTCATCACGACACAACCAACAACAACCTTCATCAAGGAGCAATAAACAACCACCTTCATCACGGAGCAACAAACAATCACCTTCATCACGGAGCAACAAACAATCACCTTCATTACGACACAACTAACAACAACCTTCATCACAAGACAACTAACAACAACCTTCATCACGGAGCAACTAACAACAACCTTAATCACGGAGCAACAAACAAAATCACCTTTATCACAAGACAACTAACAACCGATTTCATTACAAGACAACCACGACCGACTTCATCACAAGACAACCAACAACCATGTTGATCACAAGACAACCAACAACCATGTTGATCACAAGACAACCACCAACCATGTCGTTCACAAGACAACCAACAACCGACTTAATCACAAGACAACCAGCAACCACATTAATCATAAAACAACCAACACTCACCTTCATCACAAGACAACCAACAATCGCCTTCATCACAAGACAACCAACAACCGACTTCATCACAAGACTACCAACAACCACATTAATCATAAAACAACCAACACTCACCTTCATCACAAGACAACCAACAATCGCCTTCATCACAAGACAACCAACAATCACCTTCATCACAAACCAACAACTATCTTCATCACAAGAAAACCAACAACCTACTTCATCACAAGACAACCAACAACAACCTTCATCACAAGACAACCAACAACAACGTTCATCACGGGACAACCAACAATCAGGTTCATCACAAGACAACCAACAACCGCTTTCATCACGGGAAAATCAGCAACCACCTTCATCACAAGACAACCCACGCCCACCTTCATTACGGTACAACCAGCAACAACCTTCATCACAAGACAACCAACAACCGACTACATCGTAAGACAACAAACAACCACCTTCCTCAAAAGACAACCAACAATCACATTCATCACAAGACAATTAACAACCGACTTCATCAAACGACAACCGACAACCGACTTTATCAAGGGACAACCAACAACCGACTCATCACAAGACAACAAAAAACCGACAGCATCACAGAACAAACAAAAACAACCTTCATTACAAGATAACCAACAATCGACATCATCACAAGACAACCAAGAACCACCTTCATCAAGGAGCAAACAACAATCACCTTCATCAAACGACAACCAACAACCAACTTCATCACAAGACAACCAAAAACCAACTTCATCACAAGACAACCAAAAACCGACATCATCACAAGACAACCAACAACAACTTACAGGACAGCCAGCAACTATATATGTTCCAAGGCAACAAACAACCATCTTAGTCACGTCACAAGGCAACCAACAACCATCTACTTTACAGGGCAACAAAAAACAATCTTAATCACATCACAGGGCAGCCGACAACCATGTACATTTCTGGGCAGCCAACACACATCTAGATCAAAGGGCAGCCAACAACCACATTCATCATATCGTGATATCAATAACTGTCATGAGCGTATGGCACCACCAGCCATCTTCATCTTTGCAAGAAAAGTTTACTTTTGAAATTCTTTCAAGATTTTCCTCTTTGGCGTGGAGTTCCACCCAATATCTTGTCGATTGTAGATGTGAAATCGTGGTATTGTTATATATGTATGAATAATTCATGTCGAGAAATTGGCAAGAATAACATTGTTTTCTTGTCGTTCTTGATCAAAAATGAAATAATGAAGAAATCCTTAATGATAAAGTCATACTTTTAACTAAGAATGCACAAATATCACGATTGCACAATTTCAAAATCTCCCTACAGTACCGTCTTGTTTGCATGCCATCATTAAACACTTTTTTATTGTTAAATATTATTATTTAAATCCAAAGGTGAGCAAAAATATATCTCATAAGGCTTCTATACTATGAAGCAAAGAGGTTTGACCCTAATGAGTGATGGTTGATTATCATGCTTATTGCTCCAGTTATTTGATTTTCAAATTGGTATAAAGACATGAGGTTTTGTGGGTGTCATTTACAACATAAAAATAAGTAACGAGAGTAAGATAAACATGGTAATCAACCATTACAAGCTGTGTGCCCATTTACTCCCACAGCTTTCTGATATCGTATCTAGAAAACTGTATGTTTTTCTTGGGAATACATTGTTCTGTTTTTTTCGTCAGAAAAATAATTGCCATGAACTATGACCTCACAATGGAATATGACATCGCAAAACATTAATACTTGATGTCATAAGTAGAAAATTGACCAATGCATTTACGACATGTTACCCTATGTTACGTTAATCAAAAATGTTTAATGGATTTTAATGGTGAAATTTGACTTAATAGCCGATTTCAAGAAATTCGATCCAGTTTTTTCAGGACATATAAACATATAATATTTTCAAGGCTATTGATTAGCCAGTAGCCACTCCAAGTACATGTGATAGAGTAAGTATATAGAGAAGCCCTCATTCGACAGTTTATCTGCAACGAACTTTGGATAGATGACGTTCAAGAATTCGGTAACGTACATACTGATAGCCAATCTGACTGGTCTATTTTCAAACAAACCCGTAACAATTGTGTAAATGCCATTAGACAATCTAAAGAATCTTATTTTAATGGTTTGTAATAAAAAATATCTGATTTAAGACAAAACAACAAGTCATGGTGGTTAAGTGTAAAACTCTTCATGAACAATAGTGGTAAATGTGGAGAAATACCAACGATTTTTCATGATAATGTCTATTACGAAACTGATGTTGATAAAGCTAATGTTTTTAGTTTAATTTTTTCAAATCAATCCGTTGTGGATGTTTTAATGGTAATGCTTCCTCCACTAAAAGAATCCCCTAATCGTATCTGTCTGAGTAATATAAATATATCATGTACTGATGTTAAGGATGCCTTACTCAATTTGAAAATGGTAAAACTGTAAGACCAGAACTTATTAGTCCCAAAGTGCTCAAGGAAGCCGCAACATCGCTTGCTGAGCCATTAGCTATATTTTTTAATTAATCCTTATCACAGTGTATATTTCCATCATCGTGGAAAGAAGCAAATGTTTTACCTATATACATATATAAAAAAGATAGCCGTAATGATATTAAAAACTATTCACCAGTTTCATTTTTAAGTGTTACGCCATTGGTCTGTGCAAGACAATTACGTCGTTTTCTCAAAAATTGATGACGTTACTCTCACAAACAAGTGACGTAACAATCCAATCAATACCTGCCCCCAAGAGAAGATAACTCTGCAATACGTAAAGACGGAATAATTGGTAAAGTGTTCGAGAAGTGCGTTTATAAACATGTTTCTTCTTGATTTGAAAATAATAACAAAATATCAATAAGGATTTACACCAGGCAATTCCTCTTTTAACCAATTATTAAGTATTCCCAACGATTTCATTAAAGCATAAGATTCAGGTAAAGAAACAAGAGTAGTATTTTGTGAAAGCAGCAAAGCAATTGATAGGGTTTGGCACAAAGGGCAGTTGTATAAATTATAAAAAAAAATGGAATAACTGGATCGCTGTTAAAATGGTTCGAAAGCTACTTAACGAATAGAAAACAAAAACGTATTATCAATAATATTCACTCCGATTGGGCAGGAATTGTGACTGGAGTTCCACAGGGTTCAATACTTGGACCTTTGTTGTTTTTAATCTATATCAATGACAAAGTCAACGAAATAAAATCTTTTATCAAATTATTTGCTGATGATACTTCTCTGTACATAATAGTTAAAACCACCTTAGAAACAAACAACATTATGGAGTCAGATCTACTAAAAAATGCTGAATGGTTCAAATCTTGGTTGGTTAATTTCAATCCAAAATAAACGGAAAGCATTACCCTTAGTAGAAAAAGAAACAGTCAACCCCTTCCGATCGTACATATGTGCAATGAAGAAATATCAGAGGTTCTGTTGCATATACATATTGGAGTTCTTTTTTCTAATAATTGCAGTTGGATTGAACATGTTAAAATAATTCAGAAAGCAACGCTGGATTAAATATTATGCGATCTCTAAAATTTAAACTCGACAGGCAAACATTACAAGATATTTATTTTTCGTTTATTAGACCACTTGCAGAATATGCTGATACTGTCTTTGATAGCATTCCCAAAGAATATATTTCTAAACTAGAGAATGTTAATTTGGAAGCTGATAGGACTGTTTCAGGTGTAAGCTTAGACGAACTATATACAGAAGTTGGATGGAATAAATAATAGACCGTAGACTCCTTCATAAATTGTCACAATTTCATAAAATGTTTTATCAAAATGCTCCAGAATATCTGTATAATCTCTTACCTTATTCAGTTAGTGATGTTCATAGTTATAATACCAGACTAACTGACCCATCATGTCTGACACCTATTCTTTGTAGAACAAATACTTATCTAAATGCATTTCTTCAATCTGCTGTAAACAATTGGAATTCTTTTCAATTACATATTAGAAATAACCCTTCCATTTCCCATTTAAAAGCCTTTCTGAAATCTAATAGTAAATCATGTCCACCTTCATACTACTTTCAGGGTCCACGCCTGGGTCAAATCTACCACGCAAGACTGCGTATGTCATGTAGCTCCCTAAAAGAACACCTGCTTTGTGACATACTAATTTTGTCAATAGTTGGTTTAGTGGTAATTAATGCTATGTACATTGTAACTTGTATATACATTTTAACCTTTATCAAGTGTCCATTTACAGCATTGCTGAAAATGTTTTTCATCTACTATTGAATAGTCATATTTTACACATACTCATTGCAATATAGCAATATAATAGTACCATCTGATGATCATACAATGTATGTATATTGATATGTTATTCATTCCTGGATATCATTGCATACCAATCCATTACCCCCTTCCCTATTTCCGTAATTGTTCTGTTGTACATATTACTTCCTTCCAGTAGCTAGTGTTGAAAAGCTGATTATTAAGCAAGTACCAAATTTACATAAGTGTTACATTTTGTACAACTCTTGTTTTTGTTTCCTATTCTGTTCTATAAAACATGTACCTCAATGTATTGTATTGTATTGAATAAAACAAAGTTTAAACCAAACAGCGTAATCACGTGTTACCATACATCCTAGCGCCAAATAGCATAGTCAATGTTTCCATGCATTCAAACGCCAAACAGCATAGTCACATGTTTCAAA